CAAACATTACTTTTCCCTCAGGAATACTGAAAGAGTGAGTAGGAAAAAACAAGTTTTAGAGGTAGAAAATGGAGATTCAGGTTTTTTTTTTCTTCTTCTTACAAAATCAGAAAATTGCTACATAATAGACTGAAAATAACCTGCTTGATGTTGGGGGCATTTAGAAGTAGGGCATGTTTATCAAAAGACTGAGCTCAAACGACAAAGAAGAAATAGCACCTTGGCTGAAACATATAGATTAAGCAAATGTTTAACTATAGGCAAGATACCATATTTCAAGTCCTTGCCACCAAAAGGGACCTTACAGATGTTTTAATCCAATCTAATTCATATCATAGGTGAGGAAACTAATGCCCAGAAAAGTTATATTACTTTCCAAATATCAAGCAATTAGTGAATACAGAGGAAGGATTGCTTTTGTAACTTGTAACCTCCAAGTCCATTTCTTTTAGAAATCATTACAGCTATATATTGCAGTTATTTATAATTTACAGTGCCCTAGGAGGATTGAAGGTGAGGACGACAGAGCTCCCAAAAGTCTCCCATCATATTATAGTGTGTATCATAACAAACTGCCTTAAAAGTCAGTCCCAAGAAAGAACCTTGGACTGATTCCTCATCTTACCTTACCCTGAACTGCTGTCAGACCAGCCCCGTCACCCAGCTCTGGAATTCAGTTTGGAAGCATGGATGACAAAATTACAGTTGTTTATAACTGGGCCGTTATGACAGATGGGTGCCAACTCTGACTGGCAGGGCCAGCACCATCCTGGTTGTTACAAAAATAGTTTGTGTCACCCTTGACTTGATCCCTGTGTGTCTCAATCGTTACAAGCCCTAAAGCTCAGGTCATCCCTTATGCCTCAGATTCTCCTCTTCATAAGGCTCTAAAGAGAGCCTGATCTGGCCCAATTTCTTACTCCTCCATGACTGCAGGAACTTTTCATTGCTAAGTCTGAAACTCACAGTCTGCCATTAGTAAAATGACCTCTCTTCTAAGTCTCTCCACCAAAGTTCCTTCCCTTCTTTAATTTTGACCTCGCTGACAATGAGGACATCATTTCTGCTCCTCTCTACCCCAACTTGATAATTATTCCTCCCTTTTCAAAAAGGCAGATCAAATCATCCAACTACTCATCAGGTTATTGCATCCTTCTCCCTGCACTGTCATCATCGTTCATCCTCCTAATCATCCTCCCTCACTCACTCCCTCTTGTCTTTAGCTCCATACTAAGACAGCCTAAAATCCCATGGTGCATCATTTTAATCGTAATTCCTTCCCTGCATATACCTGCAGCTCTTTTCTCTTCTCTTCCTCTGTCTGATACATCTGACAGTAAACAATTTTGGGAGAACTCATCTCACTATTTATTCTCCCAAGCAGCTGAACAAACCATAGCTAGAAGAAAGCACAGCCATGCTAAACTGATTGATCGCACTTTAAATTTATGACCGCAGATTTCAAAAAGACTCTCAAACATTGCATCCCCCGGTCAATTCACTTTCTTATCCTCCAAGATGTTTATAAACAACCAGAAGCTATATGTAATATATATTTGCATTACCAAATTTGCTAATATACAAATATCTGTACCCAAATAATACGAGTCCCTCTTTCTCCAAAGCATGAATTGCTCATACTCTTACGTAAGTGCAGTTCCTGTGCTTGCTCATTGGGTCCCATCCTCTTTCCTCTATTTAAAATTTTTATTCCTATAATTATCCCCTATCTCTCCTGAAGCACCATTTTCCTCTCTCTCTCCTAGAGAATTCCCATTAGTATGCAAGTAAGCTGAAATAATTACATCTAATTTTTAAAAGGCCTGACTGCATAGCCTATCCTAGGCATCATTTATTAATCACCATTATTATTAAAACTCCTTAAAAAAGTGGTTTGTCTACTCTGCTCAACTTCCTCACTTTCCTTTCTCCCTTCACTCCAAAAAGGCTCTCATCCCCCAAACTCTTCTCAAGCTGCATTCATCAAGGTCACTGTGCTCTTATGTATTGCCTAATCCAATGGTCAAGCCCTGTCTTTACTATGTCAATAGCATTTGGCATTGTTGATTACCCTCCCCTTCTTGGAACAGTTTCTTTAGTGGGCTTCTAAGACAACACAGTTTCTTAATTTTTCTCCCACTTCAGGGTCAAGTCTTTTTTAGTCACATTTCCCCAATCTGTTTCCTCTTTTCAGTGTCTAAATGTTAGAGTATCTCTGGCTTTCTTCCTATCTCTTCTCTCCTCACATTCACTTCATAGGAAATCTGAACCATTCCCATTGCTTCACATGACATGTACAATTGGACAACTCCCCAAAATGTATTTCTAACCTGGAACTCTTCTCTGAACTCCAGACATGTAGATTCAGCTGAATTCTGCTCTTCATTTTACTTTACATTCTAAATTTAACATACTCACAATCAGCTTTTAAATTCCTTCACCCCATATCTGAGACATTCCTTTCCATATTGGTAAGTAGCACCGTAACAGTGTATGCAGTTTTATAGTTCCTGTAAGTCAGGGGTACTACATTGGTCAGCTATTGTATGGTGCTTCATTTAAGTATACACAAAGGGAGGGAGAGACCAGTTTAATGTCCAAGAATAACCAAATAGTGATGGCTTTTACTGGACACTTCTGCTTCCATCTATGATGCAGTCACATGGGTGGAATTACCCTCCCACAAATAACTATAAGAGCTAGATAAAAATTTTAAAATAGTTTGAAGGCATTGGAGATAAATGTAGTCAGGGTTTGAGGGGCCAAGATTCTAGAGAGAAGGGAATGTATTGGGGTGAGCCCAAATTCACTGTAGCCTTTTCTCTCAGGCATTTGTTAAATCAAAGTGTAGGGCACAGAAATCAAACAGGAAGCTGGTGGCATTCTCATTTGCCAGGGAGATAAAAATTGGAGTTCAGAGCTATCAATAGAGCAGTATTCAACAGGCCAGTGTTCCAGAAAAAAGTGAACTCCAGAGAAGTAAACCTGAATTTCTATATACAATTTTCCCTCAAATCACTTTCCAGGCCCTCAGCTGTGAATCTGCAGAGACGGTCAAAAGATCAAGCAAACATGTGGCTAATAAAAGACTAATTAAAAAGTTAAGTAGAACTCTTGATAGTTTCATGAAGCCAGGGAGACAAATATTGAAATTCAGTGCTAGTTAGAAAGGTGGGGCTCTGGTAATCACTCTGCATTCTCCATTGAAACCCCAAAGGTTTAAGAACTACCAGTGAGGGAAAATCAAAAATAGATAAATCCCCACATCCAGCTCCACCTGAATCAGTATGATACACCCATACTGTATGTGCCTGCTAGAGGAAAATCAAGTCGTCTCTAGAGAAAGAGATCCTTGAAGAGCCTCCATAATTTATCTTAGACAATGGCTTGCAATCAATAAAAATATTATCAAGAAGGCCAAGAAGCAAGACATGAAAAGACTGAAAACCAAGAGAAAAAAATAACAGATGATCTAGATATTGAAGTCATTGGATAAAACGTTTAAAACAACTGTGATTATTATGCTCAAACAAAATGGACAAAAAGATGGAGAATTTAAACAGAGAACCCAAATGTGTATGAGATTAGCAAATGGAGGTTCTAGAAATGAAACATACAATAACTAAAATTAATTTGATAGGTTTAAACTAGAAGAACATACTGTAGAAGAGGGGTTCCTGAACTGGAGGATGGGTGCATAGAAGACATCCATGTTGAAGAACTACTAGGAAGAAATATGGGTAAACAGAAAGGCTCAAAAGTATGTACTTCAGTGAAAAACTCTAACATGCATGCATTTAGTGATCAGAAGAAGAGGAAGAGATTGAATTAGATGAAATATTTTAAAAGATATCACTAATAATTTTTTAATTAATGGAGTATTATCAAGCAACAGATTTAAGAAACTTCTCTAACAGCAAGCAGGATAAACCCCTTTAGGTAAATAATAGTAAAGCTGATAAAAAACAAAGACAAAGGGAAACTTAAAAGCAGCTGGAGAAGGACAGAAGATGATGGAAAACTGTATTTAAAGGGATGAAAGAAAAATACCAAGTTTAGAAATTTTTACCCAGAGAACATGACTTTCAGAAATAAAGATGAGCCCTCATGCACTCATGTTGAGAATGACAACTATTATGGAAAATAGTATGGAGTTTCCTCAAGAAATTAAAAATAGAACTGCCGTGTGATCCAGCAGTCCCACTTCTGGATGTTTATCCGAAAGAACTGATATTAGCATCTCAAAGAAATAACGTGCACTCCCATTTTTATTGCAGTGTTATTCACAATAGCCAAGATACGGAAACAACTTAAATGTCCATGAGTTGATGAAGGGCTAAATAAAATGTGGTATACACACAAAATTGAATATTATTCAGTCTTAAAAAAGAAAATTCTACTATTTCCACCAACACGACTAGACTTGAAGAACATTATGCTAAGTGAAATAAATCAGACACAGAAAGACAAATACTGTATGATCTCATATGTGGAATCTAACATAGTCAAACTGATAGAGAGTAGAATGGTGGTTGCCAGGAGCTGGGGAAGAGGGGAAAGGGAGCTGATGGTCAAAATTTACAAAGTTTCAGTTAAACAAGTAAGTTCTGGAGATTTACTATATAGCACAGTGCTGATAGCTAACAATACTGTATCATATACTAAAACTTTAGGAGGAAACTTTGGGAGGTAGTGGGTGGGTTTATCACTTTGATGATGGTGATGGTTTCATGAGTGTAAACTTAACCCCAAACTCATTGAGTTGTATACATTAAACATGAAGAGCTTTTTGCATACCTCAAATAAGTGGTTTATTTTTTTAAAAAGAAAGAAAGATGAATTGAAGTCATTCTTTGGCAAACCTAGCAGGAGAATTCACTGTAGGAGACCTAACTGGAAGAGATACTAAAGGAATTTCTTCAGGATAAAAGCAAGTGACATAAAATTGAAGCACAGTTAATAGGAAGGAAAGAAGCTCATCAAAAAAAAGGGTAAATGTGTGAGTAAATCTAAATGAAGTTTTAACTGTTTCAAACAATAATAACATTTTTGTGTAAAGTTTAAAATATAGAAGCATTTAAAATGTTCGACAACAAAATCTAAAAGGCAGTTGGTGGGAGGAGAGAGAATGGGAGTTAAAACATTCTAGGCCCTCTATATGTCCAAAAAGTTTTTTAAAAAAAAGGTATTTAACGTAAGTTCTAATAGCTTAAGAATGCCTGTGGTAAAGTCAATTGTAATCACTAAAATAATAATAAAATAATCCTAATTGAAGTGGGAAATGAAATGGGGGGAAAGAACTTGATTAAACCAAGAAAAAGCAAGAAAGGAAAGGAAATGGAACAGAAAGAGATGACATATATATTTAAATGATAGATTTGAACTCAAGTCTGTACTTGAGCCTCCTGAAAATTATCAAATGGTTTCCAGTTTATAACCCTCAGTAAAGTCCTACTGTCTCCTTTTTACATCTGTCTCTCCATCTCCTACACATCCCACCTCTGTGTTCAGACTTCTCTTTCTCTCCCTCAACTCCTAAACATCTCTCGAACCACTTCACTTCTGAGGTTGTGAATTATGATCAGAAGTTAATAACATATGGACAGATGTCATAAAAACAAAAACACCATATTCATAGAAGTGCAGAAGAAACACAAAAAACAGAATATTCACAACTGCACTCCCATCATCGTCCCATCCCTCTATGATACAGATAAACATTGCGCTCATGTTTCCTTTACTTTAGGAAAAGATACCTGCCCTGCTGCCAGCACTCAGATTCTGGTCAAAAAGGAATGTTCTCAATCTGAACCAACAAGTAAGACTCTTTCTCTTTTGAAGGGCTTGGTGGAGGGGGTTGGCAGCAGACATTTATAATTTAGTATTTGTACTTGTTTACATGTCCTCTTTCTCATTCTTATTCCACAAAGTCCATTTCTGTATTCCCTTGCCATTAAATTAAGCAATAAAGCAAACTCAATGAATTTCACAGTTTGAAAAAAAGAGAGGGAGATACCCTTTATCTGTGTTAAAAAAAAAAAGTAGAAGTAGTAACTAGAAAGTTACAGTATAGAAAGTCATTTTTATGTTTTCTGAGTTACTAGCTCCCAAAAGAGTTAACTTTCCTATTAGACTTCTGAGTAGGACTCTAGGTTCTGCCAGTTTGACTAGCTAAGTGACTTTTGGGCAAAATGATCCCACACTTCTGAACCTCACTTTCTTCATCTGTAAAATGGAGACAGTAAAACATTTGAAGTGAGGATTAGAAAAGATCTGTAAAATACTGTGCTTAGATTGTAATATATGTCCAATAAATGTTAGCTACTCTTCCTCTGCATAGATTGGTCAGTGTTTAAACTAAGTGGATACTATTTTTAAAATTCGTTTGTGAGAGCCAGGCTAGCAAAGCTTATACAATCCTCTGCTTCTCCTCCATCTGTCTGCCAACTGACATTCTTTGTTTCTAATCTAAGACCAAGCCATATGTTCTCCATATGGGAGACTCTTTCCTGCCCAGGTGGGGAAGCAGACACAATGATCTAATAAGTCTTCACTGTCTCAGTAGGGCAAGTCTTGGGAAAACTTCCAAACATTGAGAGGTTCTGATGAGACACCACAAGCTTGGGTGACTATGTTGTTCATCAGAAAGAAATTTTTTTTACTTTCTTTTTTCCTCCCAAGATCCCCAAATCATGTTTCAATTCTGTCATTACCTGTTTCCTTGTCTCTGTTTAGTCTAGCAGACAGGTCAAGACTCTGAAAAAGATTTCAACATGGGATGTCTGGGTGGTGTCAAGGACAGTATAGATGAAAAGTATATATTAAGAGCTGGAGGACTGAGTTAAGAGTCAGGCTCTGATCTACAAATCCCAGACCTGCAGCATCTCAGCCAAAAGAAATAAGCTCATAGAGATAGTGCTACTGGGTGGTTAGAGTTTAATGTCATCATATTTAACCAGAAGTAAAATGTATAAGCAGAAGTTAAAAAAAAAGAAAAAAGGAAAACAAAAACCCACCACTATCATAGTAGTGGAAGGCACAGAAGGAAAACAAAATTATATTCAGAATTGCATAAAAAAGAGGAAACAGCAAACTGAGAAATACTTACCTTTTAATAATGCTCTTCTTCACTGGGTCATAGTAAAACAGTGTAACCCCCAAATGTTAATGCGGCAGTAACAGATTGAGAAATAAATCTCTGAAATACCCGTGCTATTTTGACAGTTACAGAAAATAAAAATGAGACTTTCACTTTCTGCTTACTTATATTAAGCTAGTTTTTGAAAATATTGAAAAACTCATTTTTAACTCTCTGAAGCTAATTTAACTGATAGCTGAATTCAGCAAAATTGTAATATTAACCATCAAAGCCATTAATCTCAAAGTTAACACATAGGTTTCAGTAACTAAATTGCCTCCTTGTTCTATCCAGTCTCCATCTTTCCAAACTTTCAACTTAATTCACATTATTGTAGCCCACATATATCACCTAGGTAAATGACTTAAAATCTCTGAGCCTCAATTTCCATATTCACAACATAGCAATTAAAATCTCTGCAGTTAATTGTCTCATAGGGAGTGTAATAGTAAAGGCGTTTTTACAAAGTGTTTAACTCTTTTGAGGTATTACACTAAGATGTTTATTATCATATGGAACAAGCAGGCATTTATATATTATTCATTTAAATGGTTCCCTGCAAAGGGTTTGACAGGTGTGACCTTGAAACACGTGACCTGGCTATGGCTGTGCAGTATGATTTGGGTCTGTGTGCTATATGCTAACTGGTCAGTATACCAACATAAATTATATTTCTCAGAGAAATGATTTCTTTGGAAAGAACTAGAAATCAGGATCCCTTTCTCAAGGGAAGGCACTATAGCTCACCAAAAACTTTACCTTCCTACGTGCGTGAACCTGTCAAGGAAGCGTCTCATCATTTTTCGCAGCTCTTTCCACTTTTCACTAGCTTGCCTTCTGCAACCACTTCAAAGAAATATACAATTAACCAAAGTACATAATTAGTAGTTACACTATATCCAGCCCATCTTGATGCCTCTCACAGGTGGAGACAGGCAGTGTGCATTTGAAACTTGCAGTACATTCAGGAAGTGTGCATAGATCTTAATACTTTTCATTTACACACTTCCAAAAAGAAAATTCAATAGAAAAGTGTCTGCAGCATGTTCGGCGACCTATGTCTCTGAATTTATCTGAAGCTCTGTTCTTTAAGCATTCATACAACTGTTCACAAAAGTGGTGATAAAAATTGCTTCTGCATTAGGTAGGCGTTTGGTGTATTTACCTTGTACATGAACTTTCTTAGTTGTACCTACCCAGTCTCTACAAAGATAAAAAAAAAATGAGAGAGAGCTGGTATTATATTCAAGTACTTCATTTGTTTCCCAAATTAGTTCTTCTTCTGGAAGATAATGCTGGATAGTTATCCATGTAATACTTTCATTATAACAGAATGGAGAAGAATTGCATTAGCCTCAAAAGAGATATGAACTGGAAAGGTCATTTTTGTGATAATGGAATTCATCAAGGAGACTGAACAGACACTAGGAGAGATTCACAAAAGATGTAATTTCCCCCCTCTGTCTGAATTCTTTTTTCTGATTATCAAAAGATCTTAGTTCTTTACAAAAAGTATATTTTTTAAATTCACTCAGAACCATGCTTTTAGTTTATCATTGGTCTCACTAAAAGACATGAGGCATTTTGGTCTAACTGAATTACACTGGGTCGTCAAGAGGACCTGAATATTTAACATTTAGCAAAGAGGGTTCTCCATCATGTTTGATTTCTCACCATTTATATTCCAAAAATAGCTTTTCTTCTCCAGACATGAAAGTAGTACTTTGTGGGGATGTCCCAATCTCTAGGGCTCGAAATTTATCTCAGATCTTTCAGATTCTACATTTGAGATAAGTCTTAAACCTTGGAGGCCTGCATCTCTCTTTCAACTTCTGGAATTTCAAATATTATCAAAAGCAGCTTAAGAAGGTTTTGAAGAGCTTTCATGGGGCTCTTATAAATTATCAGAATTACAGGTTTTCATAGCCATTGATACAGCTCAATTAGGTTTTACTGAAGACAAAACAATTTATATTTGAGATAGTGCTCCATTCTTCTTTCCATGTTCTAACCTGCTAACTTCCTCAATTTCAGCGTCTGTTGAACCTTACCCTCTGTGCAACCTTGAGGAAGCAATGTAACTTGCTCAACTCTGTTTCTTCACTCTGATATTCCTGTCTTATCTCATACACATTTGAGGGAAATTACATGAGATTAGGTGTGTAAAACTTAATGGTAAATTATAAGTTGTCACCTATAAAATGCCATTATTCTTAATTTGTTATTCTTCTTTATTTTTCACTTTTAAGTAATATTTCAGTCTCCACACAAGTCTAAAAAGCCCATATTTACCTGAAAAATACACATTTGATGAAAATTAGAACAAAATAGGGTGAGCAATTAACCCAGAATTGGAAGAAACAAAAGTAATTGTATCCTTAATCTTGAGAGAAATCAGGTTTATTTAGAAAGGAGAGGTAGATTAAGATTTTTTTTTTAATTTTGAAAGAAATTTCAGGATAATTTCCAGGACTTTCAAGGCTTTGTATATCAATTCTGATGTTTTTTCAAGTGGAGGCTCCATATTTCCTAGTGGTGATGTGCCCACTCACCTTTAGTTCTGATTAGAGTCATTGCACAGCTCATAATTGAGAAATACAGGAAAGGGAGGAGGAGAAGGCAGAGGAGAGAGACTTTACAGAAGGACGTAGGCAAGAATTACAAGACCAGAGGAAAGATGACTTAAAATGAATATATGACTGCATACAAAGAAAAAAATGCCCAAAGTAGTATTCACTGTGATCTGAAATGGACAGAAAAAAAAAATACAGAAGTGGACAGAAAGTAAAAATAGGCCCAAATAACTGTGAACTAGCAAAGACTGATTCAAATTATTCCATGTACCAGCCGCAATAACACAGTATCCTCTAAATAAAATATCTTTTGGAAGTCAGAAGCAGTCCAGGGATGAGAGGCTCAGTATTCGAAGGGCAAGGGAGAAGGGCTCAACAGCAAACAGCGGAAGTATAGGATGTTTGCAAATCAGGTGCACATAACTTGGGAAATGCCTGCACTTTAAGGAATAATATGCAGGAAACGTGAGAAGCTGACGGAGTGCCCATAAATACATGTATATTAAAATAGATGTTGAAAAGTTAGGATGCTCCTACAAATTTAAAAAATGTTTTACAGAAAAGGAAAAGTAAGCCATGCGGAAAGAGCTCAGTGGAAGAAAGTGCAAATGTATTAACTGTTAGGCCACTAATAGTGTCTGGCTCTGTTGGTTATCATGAAACGTCTTGATATATTTCAGTAGTTAATAAAAGGATAACCATGTGATAACTGATGGTTTTATACCACCTTCTGACCAACCTAGAAGTTGCTGAAACAGCAGATCATTTTACAGGCACTCTAACAAGCAAGCACTAGATGATGAATACTTTCCAGTATTGCACTTTTAAGAGTAGATAAAGCCTACCTTGCATACCTCCTAGGCTTGAGGTGGTTTCTCATCAGAAAGGCTGTAACTGAAACAGCGTGGGACCATTATGCACTGGCGAATGTGACAGTAAAGGCAAAGCCCACTAGCAAAAAGAGTGGAAACAAAGGAGATGGTGTGACCTCAGTCTACCTATCTTAGGAGCAGAAACAGCATTTTAATGTCCTGACTGTTCCCTGTTGTAAATCATTTCATTTGTATTTTTCGACAAGGTTGATATTTAATAGTTAGCATATTATTA